AGCACTCATAATGAAATGAAAATATCAAATTTCGATAAAAAATGAAAATAAATCGAGTTTAAACACACACACACATACACACACATATATATATATATATATATATATATATATATATATATATATATATATATATATATATATATATATATATCTATATATATATAGATATATATATATATATTAAGTATATAAGTATTTATATAAAATATATACATAATAGTAGTTACTTAATGCATTATGAGATTAATATGATGATTGTATTTTTCATGAAAATTTAAGTTCGATATTAGAATTTGATATATTTAGATGTTACAACTAATAATATAATCTTTCATTATTAAGTCATTATAACAATAAATATTATGTACTTATAAATTATTATACATATTATGATTCTTTTTAGCAAACCAAATCATATAAAATAAGAGCGGTATTGTTTTAAACCCAATTTGACACAATTTTTTAACTTAAATTGGTGTTGCCTTTAAAAGTCAAATTAAACTGCACCGACGAATATTTATATATCTGCATGGAACGAGCAATGGACACATTTCCTCGAAATTTTATTGTAGATTCTTTACTGACACATTTCATATTTTTATCTAGGAGAATAATCGACCGGATTTTTTGAAATTTAATGCGTGAGTTCCGTTTATTGGTGACTCAATAAACCTCCACATTTTCATAATATTTTGATATAATATTATGCTTGAAATAAAATTAAAGTATTGATTAAAATAAAATAATTAGAAGTTGAAAATATAATCCAACATTATACAATGTATACTCTTTATAGGGCATGTTCTGTTCACATCAGACTTCTTTTTAAATTTTTTTATAGACAATTTATACTTAAAAAATTTTTGCTAATTGAGTACATTTTAAAAATTAACATGTTTTTTTTTAAATACTATTTTTATGGATCGTTGAACTTGCTACTCGTATATACTCAAAAAAAATTGATGATACGACAAAAACTCTATTATTTTCTTACTCATTCAGATTTTGGAAAACAGAGTGATATGTACTTAGAATGAAATTTGTGTTACGCAAATATGAAAATAGATAAATAACAAAAAATTATAATTTTATTTATTTTATTATTTATTAAACTTAATGTTTGTACGAGTATATATATTTTGTACGATACGATTGATTCCAAGTTTCATATTTAACACATACGTCTTAACGGAAGTATGAATTCTTTAAAGTATCACCATAGGCAATGTGTACCGGATTCTAAAATAAGTAAATAGGAAATTTGAGTCATTAATTGTTGTTCATAACCTTAAGTTTGATATCAAAATTAAAATCTTGAAATTTGTAATTACAAATTTGATTTTGTTTTAAATAAAATTTATCATCGCAATTGAGATGTAAATCTTATTTGGTACCCAAAATCCTGTCAGAAAATAAAATATTATTATGGGATTGAACGTGCACTCATGTAATATTCACAGGTTTTAGACAGCTCTCAATATTTAAATTTCAATACCCTTCAATTTTTTGCATGTTTTATACATTTGTGTATAGCCAGCCTTAAAAATTTTGTATTCATTCAATTCTTCAATCATTATTTTTTTGTGCTATAAAATAATTAATTTTTTGTTATATTCAAAATAATACACGTTTCTTTTTTATTGATTTTTGCAAACATTAAAGTGCTCTTTCTGTTTAGCATAACAAAAAAGAGTCAAACAGTGGATAAAAAAATACATAAATTAATATTTTTTATTTATTTTACTAACAAACAAATCTTTATACATATACATACATAATTAGTATTCGTGTGAGTTGGATTTGGATCTATATAAATTAGCTAAAATTATTCCACGAGTAATGACTTTCTATTGACTAGATTTCGATATTGTTTTTCGAAGATTTGTTTTTTATTTTTGATAATTCAAATTTTTTTTTTTGTTTTTTATTTTTAAAATATGTTAATTTTTTATTTATTAGCACGGAATTAAAATTAGGTAAAAATATTATTTATGCGGGGTTACAAATTCGACATTAATAATATTGATATAAAAATTTTTGTGTTTGAAAACTAGATAGCTTAGTTATTTATAAACTTTATAATTTGCAAAATATTTGCGCAAATGTATTTGGTTTTTCTTCAGAAAAACCTGAATAATTAAATATTATTTTAAATAAGTAACAATATACAGAATCGCATTATATACAAAATACAGGGGATTAGGTATATACTTAAATTCTTTAAACTTTGAAATTAGGCCTGAGGCAAAATCGCCACAGGTAAAAGAATTTATGTCAATTGAAATCTTGATTTAATTTCGGTTGCTTTTAACCTAAGGTAAATATTTGAAGTTAGAAAGTAGCATTGAAAATTTCATTTGTCAGATACAAAAATTAAATTTACGATATTTATTAATTTACTTGTTAAGTGTACATACGTTATGTACATGTAAATTCATTTTAAGAAAAACCGTTCTCAATTTTTTAAAACAAAGTGTTAAAAAATTTACAAATCTATTATCGTAAATATTTCCATGTTTATTATATTAGTGTTTTAAGTAGTAAAATTATAAATGTTTAAATAGGAAACTACTTTAATTTTGATATTAAATTATAGCAATTAATTTATATGTTTACAAATTTACAATGACCTTGCGGAGATTGTCAACTTCTAATTTCGTATGTTAGTGTAATAGTCTTAAGTAAATAAGTTCGATAAAATTTTACAACACTTAAATTTATAGTTAAAATCTCTATGATTAATCGAAAATAATAATGTCTGTTAAAATATGTAATTTGATATTTAAATCGAAATTAACAAACACACATAAATGTACATAAAGAAAATTTATATACTTAAGTACATAAAGAATTGGAGTAAAATTCTAGAGCAAATCGTGTCAATAAAACGATGATTATATAACATAAACTTAAATATTGTGGCTACCTATGCCATTTAACATAATGCGTGTGCAATCTATTATGCAGTGTAATATTGAAAACGCATTCGTATAACACCGTTAAGGAATGCATACAAATGTTCATACATATTCTACATAGTATATGTATTAATTACATGCATATAAACTCAGAAATAAAAAAAATATTTCAGATGTATTTTATAGTCAAGTTAACACATAAGTGACGCATAAAATGTGTAAATAATTTGCATATTATGCTTTTCGTTATTTAATAATTGTATTAGAAATCTGTCTTAATTATTATATATGTGCATGCCTTGTTTTTATTACGTTTTTATTAATGTAAATATTTACTCATTTGTTTGAAGTCAATCGGAAGTAAATTTGATTAAAATTCAATTAAAAATGCAAAGAATTGTACAAATAAACAATAATACGTTGTGAATTTATTTGAGTACCACTTCAGTACATACTGGAAATATACGTATACATATATTTATATACTTAATATTGTATACATTTGAAAACAATATTAGAAAAATAAAAGTAATAAATCAGCTTAGCAACACAATAATTAATGAAGTTAAATGCAATTGAAATTCACACGTACGTATATAGATAACAATACCGGTTTTCAAGTACATCAATACGTTAATTATAATTGCCTTATAGGTTCTTTCATGGATTATGTATTAAATAAAGTCTATTCCACTTGAATGTTTGAGTAAGTAAATGTTTTCATATTTTACAAGTAATATTTTAATATTTAGTTTTCATATTTTACTTACAAAGTTGCAATTATTATTATTCATTAATATTACTTAAGTTTTAAATAAATTCTTCAAATTTAAAAAAAAAACAGTGTTTAATATGCATACAATTTGAAATTTTATATAAAATAGAACACAAAAGGAAAAATATGTATACATAAAGTATGAATTGAGTAATTTAATTTTAATCATAAACCAAAATAGTCAACAGCAAAGTGTTAAGCTATTTTTAGAATTCTTAAATATAAGTAAGGCATATTTTGCCAACGCAATCTGTAATCTATGTACGTTAGCGTATGAGTGTATGGGATTGAACCTAAAATAGTCTGTTGAATTTTTCACTGATAAGCAAAATATTTTACTTTCTAAAATGAATTTGAATTTAAACTTAACAGGAAAAAAAAATTGAAACATATTTAATTAATTCCGTAATTCATACTGTAGTGTATAAAATAATAGAAAGGTTTAAAAATGTATAGTGATAAGCTATTTTGAATTTTACGCTCGCAATATAATCATATAGGTACTTCGAGTTATTGAATCTTTTAAGGATTATTAATTTTTTTTCATCTAATTCATTCTGCTCTTAATTTTAAAAATTTATACTGAGTAAAGTCTGGTAGGTTCTTCACCTACATAGTAAACTTAATGACGTCAGAAACTGGTTTATGGTTATTTACAATGATCATGCACCAGCCTCCTAGGAACGAAGTCTTTTATTTCGATATTCTCTTCCAATTTACTTCAGCTTTGATTATGAGTTTATCAGCAAGTCCAAGTTATAAGTTTTTAAATCAGCAATTCGCGATTTTTGTTTTTTATTTTTAGATCGACTATATTAGATCTGTAATCATTTAAAGCATGAAATTCATATTTTTAATTTTGTCAGCTTGAAATTATTTTCAAAAAATTAAAGAAGGAAATTACAAAGCGTAATTAAAAAATCTTTATTAATAAACTGTAAAACTTTATATGAATTATATAAAATAATAAAAATATTAAAATTCTTAATTAATAAATTAATATATTGTAAAAATTAATTATATTTATATTTTTTAGTTTATACTTTACTTCAGTAAAACCAAATGATTGAAAAGTACTTTTGTAACAATAGTTTAAAAGTAAAAGGTACTTTAATATCTTTAATGAGTGAATAAAGTGAGTTAATTTGTCAAATATTTCAAAAAATTATTTATTATTAATTTAATTTAAAATTTTTGTTTTTCGTTAATAAAAAAAACTCTTTTAAAATTTCAAATGTTTTAAATTAAATTTTAAAAATTTATTCAATTTCTATTAGGGTCATAAACATACTAGGTATATTTACCTGTGTAAGAGACGACATATTGTTGCTTGTTTTGAAATATGTACTTCTTTTGACAATATTAAAATTTCAAATTTAACAAATTTAAAAAATTTTGTACAAATATGAACAAATTAAAAATCTTTAAAAAAAATTTTTTTTTAATATTACCACGATTGAAAGTGCACCTTAAATAATTAGGTACCTAAGTATTATGCAATCGCAGAGAGGGAATTTTAAAAGTAATAATAATTAAATTTATTAATTAAATTGTTTAAATAAAATAAATTATGATTTAATTTTAAAAACAAAAATAATTAATTACAAAAAATTAATCACGGTTTTTTTTTTCACTTGCTTATTTTTTTTTTTGGTAAAAAGAAAGTCTAATTAACTTTATAAGGAACGCTCTTAGTACTATTTGAATTAATTTTATAATATTAACGTAACACAATTATTAATCACAATTTGTTAAAATTATAACATAAATAAATTTATTTTTGCTATTATAGAAAAAAATCCTTCAAATTTTTATTTGCTTTTAATAAAATTTATATTAAAAAAAAAAGAGAAAACACAAAAAGTTCTCAATAAAATGAGTTGAATGAAATTTCCTTTGTGCTTTTAAAATCGAATTTTACTCAAGTATAAAGAAAACCAAAATATTAAAATTTTATTTTTCTGTTTTCTTTCTTTTTTTAGAACTCTTGTTTTTTATTTTTTTTTTTGTAATAAGTTTTGTCACTTTCAATAGTATAAAAATTTTAATAATTAATTCCTCTTGAAAAAAGTTTAGTTTCCACTATAGAAAATTTTCACAACTTCTCTAATCGAGTTTTAATGAATAACTGATTTTAAAACTCATTTTCAAACCTTATGTACGTTTTTAATGAGTGCATTTTTTTTCACTCACACACTCATATCTACAGATTATTCATTTAATGTTATCTTAATAAATATTCATACATACATATATAAATATTATAAAAAGAGGTAAGGTAAGGTGAGTAAATAATAAATTGGTATAATAATCTAGAAGATTCATAACAAAATGTTAGTAAGTTGTTATTTTGATAATGAATGTTTGTAATTATTGTAAATTGAGTTGAGTAAAATATATTGTGTGAGAAAAAACAAATAATATATTGTTAAATTCCATATAAGAAAAGAGAAGTTGAAAAATCGTAATATTATAAAAATTGTAATCGTGGCATTGCCATATATGCATATATGTATATTTTAATTGTTTTTGTAGCCCAGTATGCGATTTATTTTAATATCTCGTCAATAACCATATGCCATTCCTTAAATAAACTACGCATCTGTCTATGAAATATGTAGGTATATTTAGGTAACTCTTGTAGTGTTGAAACACTTGTATAGTTAAATTTACATATTGAATCGCTGACCGAATTTGTACACAATCGTTCATTTTACATAATTCAGTATTAAGCATTATAGGATATTATGCAGTAGCAAAAAAAATTTTAGATGATACTCACCAATTAAGTACATATTTTGCGGAAAATGATTTTATAAAAAAATTAAAACAAAATAGAAGTACTTTAGGCATAATTCTTTTTTTTTACAATGTTATTTACATGATGTTAAAATAATCTTACTTCTTCTTGGCTTTTACCTTCATTATACTATTACATATCTGTCTATGACTATGAGCATGATATTTTAATAAAAAGTTGATATCAAAACAATATGGCAGTGCTAGCTACAGCTGTTCTTTATATTATTGCAAATGTATTATGTACATCATTATATGCACAATAAATATTATGATAAAATTTAGGTATAAAAGAGGTATAAAAAATATTATTTTGCAAAATTTAGCTCACTACTTTAGTACTCTCTTCAATCATTTTTGTTTTATTACAGTTTTTATATTGGTTTAGTATGCACAAAATAGAAAATTTTCCATATGAGAAATGGGTAAGTATGTATAAACATATGACGTATATCACGATATGCTTATGCAAGTATGGGTGTATGCATGTCACGTTCTCTTACATGATGTGGTTTTAAAATAATATCTGATCAGACTTTGCTTGTAAAATTATTTATAATAAATAGAAATCCAAAAAATATTTTGGTTTAAAATATATTTACTTATTTAATATTACACTCAATATATTCCTGAATAAATACAAATACATGTATAAAACGTATGTTTGGCATTGGCACTGTGTTATAATATAATATATGTATGTACATAATTAGTATGTACAAATAATATTTACCTGAACAAAATTAATACTGTGTTGAGTATGAGTCGAATATAAATAATTTTTGAGTGAAATTATTATTTTAATGTGTTTTTAATATTTCATATTTACTAGCTATTTGCTTTCATATTATGAAATTGATAAGAAAATTTGAGTAAAACGACTTTAATTTCTTTCAGTTTGAATATTAGATTTGCACTCGTACATTATAAATGGAAGTTCTTATGTACTATCATATTATTCATATAATCCAACATATTTGTATGTTTGTGAATCAATTAACAACTCAATCTGATTACAGACTCGAATTAAAGAGAATGTATTTTTTAGCTTTTTAATTTTTTCATATAGAACTAATTATGTGTTACGTGGCAATTATGTATATTAAATTATCAGATATTTTGGCAATAAATTATTTAACATAACGAATTAAACTGTAACATTAATATATTTTTTGAAATTATAGATATTCCATTTATACTTTTGATTCACTTATTTAAAAAATAATGATGATTTAAGGCTGAAAAATATTTTAGACTGACATAAAAAGAACAGAATAATCGGCTTTAAATTCTGCAGATTGAATTTAGCTTTTACATATGTATTTATGTCTATCTGTATGTTATCCATATTACATAATTCAGAAAATAATTCAGTCGATCTCAATACCACATTAATTTGTATGCGATTTGGATGGTGATCTTAGCTGCCATATGAATTTAAAAGTAATTTAACCATGTATGTAATAATCAATAATTTGAAAACTTTTACAAAATTAATAGTTGATATTATTCAATACTCAAATAATATGCTATTGTATATAAATCTAACGCGACTATTTTTGATATAACAGGAACACAATAAAAAACCCAATAACTATTTGAAATGGTATGAATTTAAGCTATTAAATCATTTCCGAAAATATGCTTCGGCAAATTATCCCAGAACAGACTTGATACGAACAATTCCAAATGTATACATATGTATATGTATATACTCCTCTTATATTTAACTTAAAATTTAATTAGAACAAACTTAATTTAAAAACAACTACGAATTAAAAAAAACAAAATAAAAAAATAACAATTAACAAAAATTTCTTGTTATTGATAAAATATCAAAAGTTGTTTATAGCATTTACAAAAAAAATTTTTATAAATATTTATTTAATTCTATAATAAAGAGTATGCTGTTAAAATACTAATCCATACATAACATTCGCAGAAAATTTGATTGATAATCATATTAATATGAACAAGAAAGCACTCATATATATATTTAGGGTCTGCAAAAGAGTGAACAATAAATTTGTTATGACATATTCTTTGAATGGTACGTACAAATAATTTGGCGGAACACAGATGGTGGAACTAATTTAAATGTGAATTTTAACAAAACATTTTTGTTTTGCAAATTCCTATTGCAAGTCCATTAAATAAATATCAATATGTGTACATACCTACCTTATTTGTATATTGTTATCAGTATGTTTACATTTATATACAAAATGAGACATAATAATTTTTTATACAATAAAATCTTATCTTTTTGAAATTAATAATTTTTTTTTTTCTATAAATTACTCATTATTCACAGACATCAAAATAAAAAATTAAGCCAAAAATTAATTTAATTGAAATATGTAATATATGTTTATAATATGTGCAATCTTTTAATATATATTATAATTTGTTTATGTACAATACTGTTTATGATAATGTGTAATCTCTATACGAAAGTAAAATTTAAGTGAAAATATACATACGTTTGCCACCAAGGGCAATGTCCACAATGAGTGTTGAAAAACATGCATATACATGCATATATAAAATTAAATAACATAATTTATAATATTAAATAAATATGCAATAATTTTGTTATTTTGACAAAATGGTATTTATTCACTGGATAAGTTGATCATGAGTTGATTTCTTTGAATTGAATGTCAAATAATTAATTAAACGGTTTAAAAATTTTATCAACTCAAAAACTTTAGGAGTATAACATTTTAGATGTAGGTATAATACTTTTAACTACAGCAGCCTATATTAACACAAAAGAGAAATTTTAGGAAAATGTTTTAATACATGCATATTATGCAAAATTTCTCAACAACTCCAAAGTTGTTTGCAGTGTTATACTTCTGTAAAAGAACACCATAATTAGTGACCAAATCTGCTTTTAAAAATTGTTCAACTGTTTCCTATTTTGTATTATGTGCAAAAAGAAAAAAAATTATTTTGTTTATCACAAAAAATGTATAAAACATATACATATGAACATACATAATTTTCATGTAACACTCAAAAATTAAATATCGAAAACATTTTTTCTAAAAAAAGTACTTTAGTTTAGAACAGAAAACCGTTTTTCAATTCAAGACCGAATCCTGATAAGGTGTAAAAATTTTATTTTTTTTTTCGATTGGCTTTGTCGATTAATCAATAAAGCCAATATCAGTCGATTTTTTATAATTTTTTTTTGTTTATAATATTGTTATCCTATCATAAAAATTTTATTTTGTTTTTATTATTTAATCTTATATCAATTATTTAGGTCGTATTTTATATAAAATATTTTACATAATGAGCATATTTGTATTGTATCTATATAACACTTAAATTGTAATTGCAAAGAAATTTGTTTTTTACAGGCCAGAAGTTGAATTTTCAAGGCCGAATGAATAATTTTTACCAGGCCACCAAGGCTTTCATAAAATCTCAAATATATATAATATAATATGTAAATCTCAAATATACATATGCATGTACAGAATTTTCGAGTCAAATATGTGGTAAAATCCATTGCACTGTCAAAAATTCGGTCCTGTATTTTCTATACATAATATTAATAAATTTGAGCTTTTTATAAAATAGCAAAACTTTCCATAAATTCATAATTATTCCATAAATTTTTTTTTTCATTGAAAAAATCTATGAAATCTATGGAAATTTCCTTTGCATTTTCTGCCTAATTCAAAATCAAACTTGGTGCGATATTTCAAGTTTATTTTTATAATAATAAACTTAGGCTAACACAAATTTTAGTTTTATCTTGAGTTCAGCTCATCGAAAAATTCAACTCATTAAAATATTTAAGAATTAGCTACGTGATTTGAAAAATTA